AAATAAATAAAAAGATGAAGAAGATCTTGAAGAACTTGAAGAACACCCTTGAAGAGGGTTTAAAGGAAAAGGAAGAGAAGTTGGGAGAAAAAGTAGAGAGAATCCAATGGATTATGGATTAATTGGTTGAGAAATATGGTAACCTTAGCCTCTTATTTATACCCAAAATGGTCACTAAAAGACAAAAGAACTAAGCTTGGAGGCTAGGTTTACCAACACTAGTTACATTACAACAAAAGTGAAACTAGCAAGTACAATTCATAACTAAAGTTCAACTAAATAGTACAAAAGCTAAACTAGAGAGTACATGAGCTTAACTGAACAATACATCTGATTTTCTACTAAAAATCCAGCCATTTTACAGCTGTACTCCACCTTCAAAAAGCCAATGTCTTGTTCATTAAGTCCTCCAAAAAGTCATGCAAGACCCAGGCCAASGCTGCACCAATGCTGTAGCATTTGCTGTTTTCACAAAAACTCCTAATTAGCTTCAATTTTGCATGCCATCAAGTCAACCACAACATTTAGCTTCATAATAACAAAAGTATAAAGAAATAAATGAAAAAGACTCAATTTGGGAATGAAAAGAAATTATTGTAACTAAAAAGTCCTAAAAGAGCGTGTTATGTGTTAAATTCTCAACACATATCAAAACCTCTTCGTCATTTGATTCAGAGGAGTCAGAGTCGATCTTTGCCATCCCACAGAAGAACTCATCCTCTGTGTTCGAGTCTTCCCAAGCAAGAAGACCCTTCTGATTATCTTCATCAGAGGATTCATCAGTTACTAACTCACTCGATTGAGCTAGCAGAGACTTCTGTTGATAGTAGTCAACCTTCTTTTTGTAGAAGGCTGCATCTCTTGGACCCCTCTGTGGAGCCTTTGGCCCTTTTGACCAACAATCTGCAGCAAAGTGGCCTGGCTTGCCACATCTAAAGCATCCTTCCTTCGTCTCTTCCTTTTTCTGCTCCTTTACCTTCTGTGAAGGCTTCTGCTCCTTCTCACTTGCATTCGATCTACCACCCTATGTGAAGTTTTTTCTGTTGAAACTCTTGTACTCCTTCTTTTCACCACTCTTTCTATATTCTCTGGTGATCAAAGCCAGAGTTTTCATCATCTCTTTCATCGTGCCTTCTTCGTCAGAACTCTCCTCACTCTCTGCTATCAGGATCTTTTTCTTCTTCTTCTCCTTCTCTTCCTTCTTTGTTTCCCTCCCCTTTCTAGAGCTGCCATCCTCTGCACCCAGAGCAAGCAGACCACCATAGTTCTTCTTCATTTGAAGGACTTGAGGCTCTTGACTTTTAAGAGAACCAAATAAGTCAGCCAAAGTCCATACTTCCAAATCTAAGGTGGCCCTCATAGACATGGTTAGGTGCATCCATTCGATTCCAAGGCTCTTCAAGAACAGAGAGTTGTTGTCCTCTGCAGTCCTCATCACTCCATACCTTCTGCAATTGCTAATTAAGGTGTTTAATGTGGAGTATGTGTCCGACAGGGATTCACCCTCTTTAGCCTTGAATCTGTGGTATTCGTCAATGCAAATGGCTCGATTGTTCTTTAGAGTTTTCTTACCTCCTTCAATCTATTTTTCCAATTATGCCCAAATATCCATGGACAGTTGGCAGTGATCAATACATTTGAAGATCTCGTGAGGTATTGCCATGATTAACAACCTTTTGAATTTGCTGCCCAAATCAACCAATATCTTGTCTTCATCGCTCCAGTTAGCAATAGGTCTTGGCTTGTAATGCTCAGGAACTTCAGGGGTTGTGCCAGTAGCTGGAACTCTTGGAATTAAATTCATTGGCACATAAGGAGGATTGTAGAGAAATTCACATATTCTAGGGTGAATTCCCTCTAAAAAGTTGATCATTCGCACCTTCCATTGCGAATACTCCTCACGGATAAGCGTGGGAGGTTTTGATTGAGATCCAGTGCTCATGAACGAGGTATTAGCCAAGTTCGCCATTGAAATTAGAAGAAGAAAGATAAGAACAAGATGAAACTGATTTACTAGAATGAAACAGGGTAACCTGAAGAGAACTGGTGTTCTAGAAAATGCAGATTAATACCAAAAACAGAATTAATCGAATAAGAATTCAATTCCTGCTTTGATACCAATTGTTGGACCTTAAATTCAGCTTTGATATTTGATCTAATACTTTGAATGAACTTTAAGACGATTAAAGTGCAGCGAAAACAATATTAAGAACAAAACAGAGTAAAATAAACCAAGAACACACAGTTAAGATGAGGAAGAAGATGAACACAAGAGAATTGTTTCAAAGGTTTTTCAATTCAATTGAAAAATAAGACTATTACAATTCGGAAGCACACAGTTTACAAAGGCCTAAGCTGCTATTTATACTGGTCCCTAACGACCTTACTGACATGATCTAGAAGAGAGAAATCATCTAAGCCATCCAAATAAAGTCAATTAAGCCCTAGTCACGTGAGAAGCACATGCAGCTAACAACCTTTGAAAAACTGTAGAACAGGATCTTCACAGAAGACTGATCCGCAGACCCTCTGTGAGCCAACTCAGAGGCTCTGTTGTAATTGACTTGTATGATCTTATTGCCAGAGGACCATTTTCCAGAACCTCTGTGAGAGTCATCAGAGGTTCTGTTACACTTTACTTGCACGATGAAACAGCTTCTGTTACTAGTCCTCTGTTGTCTTCTGTGGAAGATACCCTTCTGTCAACACTTGCAGAATACTTTTTCATACTCTTACAAGAAGTGAATAATAGAGCTAACAGTATATATCGCGTGTTGTCACTCATCTTCACCATTCTTGACCTAAATTGAAGAACCCCCTGTTCGATTTCTTCTAAATCGCAGACTACCATTGTTCGGTTTCACATAAATCGCACATCATCCTGTTCGATTTCGGTCTAAATCGCATACTATCTTGTTTGATTCCAGCCTCATCACTCATCTAGTTAGTCGATTTAAGGTCTTAAGGCTTACCGGATTTGAGGTTTATCAATCATAGACAGACCCCCTCTGTTCGATTTCACTTTAATCATAGAGTTTCTTGATCGATTTCACCTAAATTGTTGATTTCCTTGCTCGATTTCATCCGATTTGGTGTAATCCGGTTAGAACTTCATCCGAATTTGGTGTATTATGAATAACAGAGGCGAGTTCAATCCATTTTGCACAAAGGTTCATCATCCAACTTGGGCTTTCTTTAGCCCATCCGAATTTGTGGCCCAAAAGACTTGTTTTTTTTTCTAAGTTTCTATCTTGTCCGATTTTGAGATATTTTGAATTTTTTTTCCTCAAAATCAATTTTTTTCCCAGATTTCATTTTCTCGTGTTGAATCAGATTTTATCTGGATTTCAAATTTTATCTGTTTTCATCGATTTTACTGATTTTTTGAGGATTTAATTGTATTTAATCTGTTTTGAATTGGTCTGAACTGTTTTTAAGATTTTTGATCTGATTTGTGTCGCGTAAACTGTTTTTGATCAGTTTTAACTGTTTCTAACTGTTTTTTATCAGTTTTAACTGTTTCTAACTGTTTTTAACAGTTTTTAACTGTTTTAAACAGTTTTTGATTGTTTTCATTGATTTTTAACTGTTTTCGCTAATTTTCTTATTTCTGAACAGTTTTTGATCTTTTATGTGAATTTTTGAGCTTACGAATTGAAACTGAAAGATTTTATTGGTTTGTGATTTCTTTGACTGATTTCGTTAATTGCATTAGATTATTTGATTAATCTTGATTTTTCAAATGACAACTTTGAAAAGCCCAAATCATACAAGATTAGAATTAATCTTCAAGATGAAGATCAAGAATATGAGTAGAGAGAATTTTCACCAACAATCTTCTTTGAATTTCTTGAGAGAGAATATTACAGCACTAA